TGTTTCATGCTGGTCATTGGATTTCACTTATGTTCCAATCTTCGAGTCTCATTTTCCTGTTAACAGGGGAGTTTAGCACATTCATATTTGTTGAAATGTCTGTGCTGTTCTTTCTCCCTGTTGACCTCTAGGGAGGTTCCAGGTTCCCCTTTCTCCACTTCCACATTGTGCCCCCTCCCTCACTTCACCGTCAGGAGTGCGGATCCTGATTGAGCAGATTAAGAACACATCTTACTGAACTCCTGGGTGGGCAGAGCTGCATTCACAAAGGTCAGAGCACACAGGGGAATGTACTCTTTAGACACTCCTCCCAGAAGAGTGACAAAGGGCCGGAGATGCTCCTGTGTGAGGAGGCCAACAGCTCCCCCGCTCTGCTGGCTTCAGAGTGGGAAGATCTCAGACTGCCTTGCTCTCAACTTTGTTTCTAAACCGTTCAGGCCAGTCTACAAACTGATTTTCTAATTGACTCTCTTGGGAGCATTTTTTCTGTGTCTCTAATTTTTGGTTCAGTGTGGTCACTGTGAATGTGGTCTGCATTTCAAAATTCAGAAGCCATGCTTTGCATCTTGAAAGCTGATCACAGATTGTTCCATTTCATAGATCCACTATCCTTCCAAATCACTGCAATAATTAGCCGCTGCCTGAAATTTCCTTGTGTTTTTGCAGTAAATTTGTTGCAAAGAACATCTGCTCTGATACCTCAGATCAGGTTCCACGTTGTAAATTATGGACTCATCATAGGTTCGGTGATTTTTCTTTGTTCTTCCTTATAGGGTATATTAGTTGGCTTAGAACATCACATTGCAGTTAAGACAAGTTTATTCACTGCCACATCCAGCCAGACAGCCTGTCAGTGGGTGGCTCTGCCCCACACCTGCGGGCTCATGATGAATCCACTGTCTTCACTGTGGACGTCAAGGTCTCTTCAGTCATCAAGGTCCTGGCCAGTGGAGAGGGAAAGAAGGTGTGGGAGAGACATGCCCTCTCTGAAGGATCTAGGTCCCCACATGCCACTTGGAACTTCAACCCAGCTTTAGGTGGAGAGAATTAAGTCAAAAGGCCACCTAAAGGGAAACGTGGTCTAGCTCCAGTTCCGTTACTGTGGGATGTGGCAGGCATGGATTTTGGTGGCAGTCAGAACTCTGTACCATGTTGAAAGAGTTGGGGGAGAAGGTTCTAGGTAGGGCAGCATTGGCCATTGAGGTGGGTTTTGGAGACTGTACCATTCCTGAGCCAGATCTCCTTCCAGCGAAAGGAAGAGTTTATAGATTTTTATAGTTTTAATTGGTCAGATCAGAGGTTTATGAGAATAATAAAAGGAAAACTGCTGATAGAAATGGCTTCTCTGCTGTGTTAAAAGGATTTTTCCCTGTGGTGGTATTTTTTTTATCTCCTAGTTCACTGGAGCACTGTCTCTGTTCACATCAGCTGGCGTACCAGCCCTCCCCAGGCACCAGCCCTCCCCAGGCACCAGCCTCCAGGGCACCCTCTGCTCTATGAGGCCAGCGGCCTGAGCCAGCTGCGGCGGTGGGGGCTGCCATTCTGCGTGCAGCCCGGATCATTGTCCCAGTGTGACCGGAGATGGCCCTCCCACCCACTGCCTGGGCACCCACCCTCACATCCTCAGGCTCCGTCAGCATGAGCTCAGGGCTGCTAGCTTGACCCGCCGGGTTTGATTAAGTCACCACTCGGGCTGACTCCCCCTTGCGCCATGATTCAGGTTACTTGGCCTGTCTTTCACTTCGTTTCTTGTGTGAGTGATGAATTTCTCTGGTTTCCAGGACTGGCATAGATCTTCCTCAGTTTTATATTCCTTTGGTCATTTCAGTGGGAATTTGGCCATTGCCTATTGCCATATTTCTTGTTTGGTAAATATTTTGTGAATATCTATACTATGTCAGGCAGTGTGCTTAGCTGGGGGGTGGGGGGGAAGGCAGTGGTGAGAAGAAACGTAGTCCCTGTCTTTGTGAAGCTTCTCAGGGGGGCGTAGAGGGAGTGTGTGAGGAGAGACAGGCATGAAAGGAACAATCCACAAAGAAATGGAATCACAGCTCCGAGGATGCTCCAGGACTCACACAGCAGGCGCATTTCCCAGGCGCTGAAGTCAGGGAAGCCCATGCAGTGGGGCTTCGGGGAAACTGAGTGATGAGTAGGCGTTCACGAGGGGGGATGGGGGAGGAGGCATCCCAGCTGAGGGAGTGAGGTGTGCAGGTCCTCTGGAGGGGCGCTGGGATGGACGGGACTGCGGGCGATCAGGTTTGCAGTTTGCGAAGCCGCCTGGGCTTCGGTGTGAGGAGTGGGCGGGAGAGAAGCAACATTGGGTTGATGTATGGGCTGGCTAGGGGGTGGTTTCAGCCACCCGGGTGAGAGGAGATGGTGGCTTGGGTGAAGATGGCGATGGTGGAGATGGTAAAGGGGACAGAGTAAGCAGGTTGGCCTGAGGTCTGAGCTCAGTGTCTGGGTTTCACGATTGTAAGTTCAGAGGGAGCTAAGTACTTTCTAACCATCAAATCATCAAACATGTCCTTTTTTCCTTTCTTCTTCTTGGACCTTGTAAGCAAGATAAGCAATAAGCTTCCTGCTCTAATCTCAGCAAAGGAAAAGGGCGTTATTGCCTGTGCCTGCCAGTGTCTGGAATATGGTTGGTAGATGTTTAGTTTATATACCTTGTGTGAATGAATGAGTGAATCATTGCATGACTGTCCACTCTTCTTCCAAGCCTTCAGGCCCTGGATGAGCCCGGCCACAGTGAGGACCAGCTTTCCCAACCTCTGATTCAGGGTGTGTGCTCCCCTCCCCTCAGAGACCGATGTCAGGCATTAGTAATTGATGGCAGCTTTTTCCCCCCCAACCCCCGATGTGGCCTCAGAATGCTTCCCCCGAAGCCCTGGAGGCAGCCTATCCCAGTAACACTCGACTTGAAACCTATTTGCTATTCCCTCTATTTTAACAGTGAGTGGAAGCTCACAAGCAAAGAAGGAATTAACACTGAATCCTCTATGCTTCCCCTGCTAAAATGGCAGTAACCCCAGGAGACCTCAGTTCCTCATGCTCTGGTACTTTAGAATCAGCCTCTGTAAAGTTAGGAAACAGCCCACAAGATCCCTCACTTCTGACACCAGCTGCTGAGCTCGGAGGTCCCCAAGGCCACTCTCGGGCTCCATAATGTGCTATGAGACTCACAGAACTTGCTGAAAGCTGTCCAGGTCACTTATGGTTTATTACAGTGAAAAGATACAAATTACAGTGAGCCAAGGGAACTGACGCATGGGACAGAGAGCAGGAGAGCTGATTCCAAATGCAGAGCTTCCAGTTGTCCTCTCCCAATGGGGTCATAGACACATTTAACTCCTCCTGGTAATGACCTGTGACAGTACATACGGAGCACTGCCAACCAGGGAAGCTCACCTGAGTCTTGGTGTCCAGAGGCAGATCTGATACCATGTGACCCAAAGGCCCCCATTATAAATCATTTTACTCTCCCATGTCACTCAAAGTCCCCAGGTAAACACACTCAGGCAGGGCATGCCCAGGGCTCAGAGGTCACCTCCTGGAGCCGAGGGCAAAGGCTGACCTTTCCTGGGGCAGAGTCAGATCCTTGACTACACAGCCTGCCCCCTTCATCCTCAGTGTACCAACCGTGTACACTGCCGTGGTCCGATGCCATAAATAGCTAAACATATATAAAAATCTTCTTTTCATTTAAAAAAAATATTTTGCAAGATAAGGATTAGGTATAAAAACTGGACTTTATCATGGGTGTTCCATGGAGGGTGGCTAGGTAGGGTAGTGGTTAGGCGAGGATAATGGGTTTCTGGAGTCCCACTGCCTATGTTCACATCCAGGTCTACTACGTACCAATTATGGGACCTTAGCTAGTTATTTTACTTTTCTCTGCCTCAGTTTCCTCATTCATAAATGAGAATAACAGTACCTACCTTGTATTGTTATTAGGAAAATTAAATGAGATAATGTTAAGGCAGGAAGGGTTCATGGCACATAGAAGCACTCAATAAATATTAGGTACAATTATTTTTATATTTATCATGGGGAAATATTATCAACCTTTTTCAAATAATTTTCTGTGGGAAAATTTTTAGTTTTCCCCTGAAATGTTTCCATTTTCACACCTTCATATCTCTCAACATGGGTGAAATGAGATGACAGTCTTTCTTAAGAAATTGATATCTTTTGACTGGGGCACTCTGGAGTCAGAGTGGTGGGAAGTGCCCCTTTGGGCAGCTGTGTCCTAGTGAGTCTGGGATATGGCAGATCTTTGCTGTAAAGCATGGGCAGACTTAGAAGGTTAAAAACAAAGGTGTCATTTTTCCAAGTTGCTCCTGAGCAATCTAGAGAATTTTAGAGAAAAGAAGTTAAATCTGGAAGTCACTAATTTTAGAACTGATGTGCCTTGACCTCCTTTTGCTCATCTCTTTCTAGCATCGAGCCCCTTGACGTCTATTTGCAGGCATCGCACTGCCAGGGCTAAATACAGTCCGCCTGCCTTGGACGGTACTGGTCAGCGTTTTGGAAACCGTTTAAAACTGAACGAAGCACAGGAGCTTTCTGCGATGTTAGCAGAGCCTCAGGTTCACGCCAGCCATTGATTGTTCCTTAGGCTTTCCTGGGCAGGCGGCTGCACTAGAGACTTGGCTTCCGGCTTTGCCGCCTGTGAGCTGCGGTGCCCGCATGTGATGTGTACTAAGATTGTCTTTCCAGGGAGCATCACCTTAATGTTTTTTGGCATTGGAATAAGTTCAACTTTAGAATTGATGCTGTTGTTTTCCACTCTTGCGGGTTAGGTGTTCCTCACTCATCAGCTCCCGAAGGCTGTGGGGCCGGCTGTCTGAGGACTTGGCCCACAGAGCTTCAGAGACTGTTAGCTGCTAGGCGGGGCCCCAGCTCTTGCTGGATTTGGCTTGCTTATAGGACAGATACAGACAGAGGGACATTGCCAGTGATGAGCTAGCTACCTAACTGAGCACTCTCTTGTCCCCCAGCTTATTTCCAGTGATGCTGATGGAGCCATCCAGAGGGCCGGACGGTTCAGAGTGGAGAATGGCTCTTCGGATGAGGTAAGGAAGCTCCCAGGCACGGTACTGCCACCAAACATGGTTATGCAATACAGCACTGGGTAGTTAGTGACCTTTGCTACACAGAAGTCTTGCCTGAATGGAGTCTGGGAGGGTAGACAGAGCTCTTCAGCTTTGCCTGAAACAGACCTGAAGGGAAATGGGTTAATCTTTGTAGAGAAGGTACTATTTAAACAGGGTGACACATACCCTTTAAAAGATCTATAAGAAAACCAGGTAGACACACAAGACGGGATCAAAGACAAATTCACAGCCACGACACCCTCTGTGAATGGCCCCTAGAATCCCAGGCTGGCCACTTTGTCACTGCCATGTGAGCCACCGGGGTCCAGGAAAGAGATGCAAAAAGTTACTGTGATTACAAAATGTCATCTTTATTCAGAGAGGACACCAGGAAAGGAGGCCATTACTGTCCACCGGTCACTGGGCCCTGCCCTCATTCTGGGCTCTCCTGATCGTCCCTGCCAGGCCACAGGGATGTGATGTGGTTGCTCCTCTTCTGTCTTTAAAACGTCCCCTGCCCACCCCATCCCTCAGGGTCCCCCCCGAACTGCAGAGCACAGTGTGAGTCCCCCAGTTTTTTCTCCTTTGCTGCCTCTGTGAGGGGCTGCCTAGCAGCCCCCAGCTCTGGCGTCAGACCAGCCTGGGGGTGAGCTCCAGCTCCCCCACCTCCTGCTTGTAGGACCCTGGGCAAGTAGCCCAGCCTTTCCGAACCTCGGGTTCTTCATCTCTGCAGTGGAAAGTGTCTCGGGATGGTGGAGAGGATCCGTGAGCTGAGCTTGGAAAGCCCTTAGCACTGTGCCTGGCATGTAGTGAGCCTTCAGTAAGTGGCAACTGTAATAGTAACAGCAGGGTGGGTGCAGTGGTAAGGGTGCCTCGGAGCCAGCCCTGCCTCCCCACCGTCCCTTCATCGCGTTCCTGGTGGAGGGTTAGGGTTAACTCAAAAGGCCCAGCCTTCCGGAAGCCATTGCCCTGCTTCACGCTTCGCATTTGCCTTGATGAGCTGCCCTCTTACCTGGACACCTGCCCTCGCCGTTGCTCTGTGAGGCAAGGAGGGCGGTTCTCCCGGGCTGTGCCTCTGAATAGGTGCCCACACACTTCTTGTCCAGAGTGACGTCAACTGGCCCACACAGAAGAAGGAACTTCCAGGGATGTTTGCCTCTAAAGCTTGAAAACAGCCCTCCCCAAGGAGCCCGGCTCCTGAGACGAGACAGTCCTGTCACCACAGACTCGGGCAGCCAGGGGGTCCCAGGAGCTAAGTCAGGAGCAGAAGCGATAAGCCCTCCTTTCCTCGTGCTCAGAAAGCTAGCAGCCACCACGCTGAGTTTCTGCCTTGAAAACCTCAGTACCGGAGAAATCCTTCTGCTACCAAAACTTGGCAGAACTTCAGCCCAGCCCGAAATGAACAAACTCCTCGCCTTTCCTCACCCGCGGAGCACACTCGGCCCTGCCAGCACCAGTGTCCAGAGGAAAGCCATGCCTCAGGGGAGACAGAGCCTGAGCCTCCACATGGCCCTAGGATCACCACATGGCCCTCACCCGGTGATGTCACCTGGCCCGGCCTGAGGACATGCTCTGGGACCCCTTGGGGGACTGGAAATCATCTGTGGGGCGTGCTGGTCAGGAGTGGCTCCACTTGGTAGAGTGATTGATTTCACAAATCACTTGGTCTGCTGTATTCAGAACATGGGCCTGTCAGATGGCTTCTCCGGGAAATACGATAGCAAGGCTCAAATGTGGTTTCAGAGTTTGTTTCTGCCAGACCCTGAGCATGAGCACCCGATCAGAGCACGTGGCTGTGTTTTGTACTGACGGTCTCCAGTTAAAAGCTCTGGCCAGTGTTAATGCACAGCCTGGTAGAAGACCTGGACCTGAGACTCAGGGACACAAACAAGACCGGCTGCTCTGAGTTAGCGAAGTGGTTAGTGAACTAGAAGACTCTGTCACTCTTAAAAATGCCTAAACCCATGACCAAACAAAGGGCAAAACCATTTCACTATTGGGTTATTTTTGCTTTCGTCATTGAATTTTAAGAATTCTCTGTACAATATGGACACTAGACCCTTATCAGATATATGATTTGCTAAAATTTACTCTCAGTTTATAGGTTGTCCTTTCACTTTCTTGATTGTGTCCTCGGAAGCATGAAAGTTTCTAAATTCGATGATGTCTCCTTCATCTATTTTGCCTTTGTTGCCTCTCCCGGTTCCCACTGCCGTTCAGTTGGGCCGGTAACTTCACACTGTGTCATACGCACCACCCCCCTGCTGCTCCCTGGACACATGTGAGCTCATTAGTGAGCCTTTTATTTTGAACTGGGCAGAACTGAGCCCGGGCCCCCACAGCCGCCGAGGGGAGCAGGCTGGCCCCTGCCTTGCCGGGGCGCTCTCCCCTTTTTATGAAGCCTGATGACTCACTGTGAACCACAGCACCCTACCCCCACCCCAGTCTTTTTCACCTGTGCTGCTATTTAGCTGTGATGTGAGGCGACATCATGGTGTAGCAGGGATAATTCTGGAGTCAAGTGAACCTGGGTTCAGACCTCAGCTCTACCACTTACCATTTATGACAAGGTCTGTGAGCCTCCATTTCTACCTCGTGGGTAGAATGGGGCCAAGCGCCTGCCTTGTTGCAGACACCCTTCCCCACCCTGTACTTTGTCCCTACAGTTTGTATTGGCATCTAAGTGTAGGGTTTTGCATTGTCCACTGAATCAAATCTCCTCAGTGTGTCCCGTAATTGCTAATTGTCAAGAGTTTTTTTGACATCTTGGTTCTGTCACCTGTCCCATTAGCCCACCCCCCACGAAGCTTTAGATTACCTTGTGCTTCTTCTGCCATCTGTGTGCTTATTCTGATTATTAATTAAAATGAGTGTGACCCTCGGTGGCTCGCAGGAGACCTCCCTTACAGCTCACTTGTATATCAATTAGTATCTGGCAGGGCAGGGCAGGGGACGGTCTTTAGCCCTTTACAAATCTGCCTTCCTCGGCATGGGTACTGGGAGGATTCTCTGGAGGCTGTTGGGGGATATGTAAATGAGTACAGTCTTTTGGGAGGGCAATTAGCAGTAATTAAAAATGCATATAGCATTTAGCCAGCAGTTCTGCTGTTAGGATGTGTATGGTAGCATTATTTAAAATAGAAAAAACACACATCTGGAAACTATCTCAGTTTCCATCAGTAGAGGAGTAATTATGGAAATTATGGTACATTTATACAGTGGAATGCTTAGCAGCTGCTAGAAAGGTGAGGCGGAGATAGATGTGATACCATAGAAAAATGTTTCAGATAGAGCATTAGACAGAAAAGCAAGTTCCAGAATGATTTGTGTGATATCATCCCATTTCCTTAAAAACAACAAAGAGAAATAAATATGTTTGTCAGTATATTTAAAAGTTTCCAAAAGGCACCTAAGAATTGAATAGTAATTTCTTGTGGAGAATGAGATGGAGTCAGGAAAGGAGTTGGAGGACCCTGACTTTCCACTTTAGGCCCTTCTCTGCTCCTTACATTTTTATACATCTATACTCAGCTGCAGTGCTTAATTCAAAAAATCTGCATAGTTGTTACAAAGAACAAGGTAGGTGTATATGTACTGACATGGCAGTATTTCTGAGATATTTTCTTTAGTGAAAAAATGTTTCAGTATAATATCTATACAACTGTCTCATGAAAGCAAATGATATGTATATATGGGAATGTGTGTGTATATGTATATGTGTATATGTATATGTGTGTATGTATATAGGTGTGTGTGTATGAGTGTGGATGCGTGTATTTTTGTATAAAGTAAGCTCATCTTTGTAAATGCTTAAAAAGATCTGGGACTACCCATACCAATCTGGTAGCGTGGTTATTATAGGGAAATGAAGTGAGCTGGGGCGTGGAGGATGGGCACAGAAAAGAATTTTAATTTGTGATTTCATTTTTTTCAAGCAGTTTATATATATCTGCAATTCAAAAAATTTTCGTTTATTTTTTAAAAATCCGTCTTCTTTACTAGCAGTGTGCTCTCAGCAGTTTAACCCAGAAACTGAAGTAAAGTCAGTTTATTTAAACGTATCCACTCATTCATTGAACTCACTCTAGAAGAGACTGGAAAACCACAGGCGTTCGATGAACCGAGCATCTGATTTGTAGCCTGAGTGTTGTGTGACTCCCCTGCTTAAAGGCAAGTATTAGAGGACACTCAGATTACATGAGGATGTAATACATGGATTTCAACTAAGTTCAAAATATCTTTGCCAGATGCAGTCTTCCTCCTTCACATCCCACAAGTATAAACAGGATAAAAAAGACAATGAAGACAACAGGAGCTTCTGTGGGCTTTGGACTCCGATGCAGACGTGCTCCGGGTGGCTTAGTCTCAGGACTCCTTCAGCACTGTGGGCACACCCAGGCCTGTCTGCAGCGCAGAAGAATTCAGCCTCCTGACTCTCCATAATTATTCTTAGCAAACAATTATCTAAAATGGCATGAAATAAGTGTGGGTGTTTGCAGTGTTAAACATGAGTTGTCTGGAAAACGTGCTTATCAGAATATTTCCCCCTGATTTTCTTGTTGATGTCAAATAAATAATGTGTTCCCCTGTCACCTGGAAGTGCTGCAGACAAACCTTCTGTGTTTCTGAAACCCCCTGCAAAATAGGACAGCCTCAGAATAGTTAGGAATTATTGAAAATTTAAAACCAAAGTTAGGTCCTACTACACCCACTCCAGAACTGCTAAAACACAAGGCGAAAGGCTGGGAGCTGGTGAGAGGATGTGGAGCAACCCATTTATATTGCTAATAGCGTCAGCTGGTGTGTCCTCTTAGGAAAACAGTTGGCAGCATCTGCAAACCGGAGCATCTGCATCTCATGTCCCAGGATTATCCCCAACAGAAATGAGTGCTTATGTCCCCCAACAGACACACACAGAATTGTCAGAGTGGCTTTATTTGTAATAACCAAAACTGGAAATAGTCCATATGTCCACCAACTGAAGAATGAATCTATAAACTGTGGCGTCCAGACTGTGGACTGCGACGTGGCCATGGGAAGGAGTGAACTCCTGCTGGACCCGTAACATGGATGAATGTCACAGACAGGATACTGAAGGACAAAAAGCCTGGCTCAAATGCACACACACAGTATGACTTCATTCTATGAAGTTCAAGAGTGGGTAAAACGAATCCATGGTTGATGGTTACCTGTTGGAGTGTGGGTGGGCATTGACTGGGAAAATGATGGAGGCGCCTTCTGGGGCATCAAAAATGTTTTCTGTCTTGATCTAGGTAGTGATGATAAAGTTGTATACTTACTTTTTAAGTTATTTAGCTGTTTAGGGGGAACAGAGCTTTGCCATCCCCAAGATATGCCTTTTTGTGGATATTGATTATTTTCAGCTGGTTATTTTTAAGGAAAAAGACTCAAGAAGAGCTTTTTCCTTCCCCTTCACCTGCCTAAAGGAATTCTTTAGAAAAGCCTGCTCCAGGAAGGGAGATCACCTTAGCATAACATGAATTAAGAGTGGCAGACAGGGAGGAACCTAGAAAGTGGTTTGTTAGGTCTCCTTCTGCGTCCCATTGATTCTGGGTGACCCAGCAAGAATTTGTTTACCAGATTCCCCCTTTCTTAGCCACCTGAATTGCCTCCCTTCCCTTTCTCCTTAGCTCAGGATGGCAGGTGCGCCTCAACTGCCCCCACCCCCAGGCCCCATACTCTTACGAAGCCCCTGTATGTGCAAATGTTAATAAATCTGGTTATTTTCTCCTGATAATCTGTCTCATGCTGATTTGATTATTCGACCAGCCAGAAGAACTCAGGAGAGTAGAAGGACAATTCTTTTTCCTCACCTAGAATGTACACGTAAGATGTGTGCCCTTTACTGTCTGTCCATTTCTACTCCATGTCATTAGAGAGTCGAGCTCACAGAGTCGTTCTTCTGGGGCCCTGGGAAGAGGGCCTTTTCCCTTTTGCTTAGTGTCCATTTCTTTGGTTGGTTCCTGTGTATATTCTTGCCTTTGCACCTCATCATGTGCTCTTTTAACAAGGGCTGGGAGGTGTGTTGCTCTGCGCGACTCACAGCTTTTTGGTGTTGGTTTTTCCCCCCACTTTAGCTAAGTATTCAGTGAAGATGAAAGTAAATAGGTAACCTTTTGATCGTTAAAAAAGAACCCATAATTGGATGGAGATAGGGACACACCACTAGCCAGAGTGCCACTCCTCCCTCCTGTGTCACTCGTTCTGCAGTTGGCAGTTCACATGGGGGGCAGGGGGGAGGACGGCAGAAAGTCTAGAGTCTGGGGTCATTTCCCATGTCCTTGAACCCCCTCGGCAATCTTCAAAGCCTGTTGACCCAAATCGTTAATAATGATCATCTTTGGACAGAGGATTCTGATTATTCATTATGATTATATTTTCCATGTTAGTTGAGTTATTTTTATGATAAATTCTTAAAATTTTCCAAGAGTATGAAATCATATAAGATGCTGGAGAGATGTATTCCAGGTGAAGTGTGCCTTACAGGGTGACAAACAGAAGGGTGTCCTCTAGGGGGCACCAGCTCCCAAATATTGTGGAAGCTTCGGACCAGAAAGGAGAGAAACTTTAAACCCAAGTTGTACTCGGGCTGGAAACAGCTGAGCTCACTGGTTCACTTGGTCCCTTTCCCACAACCCAGAATGTGTCTATGATGCGGATTTAGATTGGACGTCTTTTCTAATAACAACATGTCGCCAGAGCCCTGTTTGTACGCTTTTAACTATGACTTTTCTGTTCTTTGGCCTCTGGTTCATTGTCAGCTTCTTGTTTACTTCTAAATAAGCCTCTTAATGGCACAACTTTGTTCCATTACAGAATGCAACTGCTCTGCCAGGTACTTGGCGAAGAACAGACGTGCACTTAGAGAATCCAGAATACCACACCCGATGGTATTTCAAGTATTTTTTAGGACAAGGTAATTATGCCATTCTGGTGGTTGGGAAGGAAGGCTATTCAAAATGAAAATTAGTCTGGTACCCTATATGTGTGAAAATAACCAGTTTAGGGACACTCATGCCAGGCCATTTCACTCCAGCGTCAGTAGTAAACTTTGTAGATTTGAAGATTCAATTTCGTCTCATAATTTTTGGGCGGGGGAGGGGGCAGTTGTTTTTGTCCCTGGGGAATCAAAGGGGATTAGATCATCTGAATTAGTGAGTTGAGACATAAGAAGCATTTGCAGTTTGGAAAACAACTTTAGACTTAACAAGTCAAGAACCCTGTCTGTAGTGAGTTTTGAACACTTAATTCAAGGTAATGAGGAAAAGAAATGGTTCCCTGAGCTCCAGGGCCAGTATAGAGCTGGCAAAGCAGGCACGGCCCCTGCCTCCATGCGGACCGTGGAATGGATTCGAATCCTGGCTCTGCTGTTATCAACCATAGGGCCTCACACCTGTTACTCTCTACGCCTCTGAGACTTGGTTTCCTTATCCGTAAAGTGAGGGTATTACCAGTACACACCTAGTAGGTTTGGACAGATGTTTGAACGGGAAATACAGAAAACACACTAAGTCTGATGCCTGGCGCGTAGCAGGAGCTCAGCCATTAGGAGCGATGCACATTTACAGCCAAGGGTCGAGCGAACATAAAGGGAAAGGTAGAAAACGGGAGTGTGGCTCACTACCAAAGAAACTGAGGAATAGCCACTACTTTGGGGTTAGAAATTAGTTAGATAAATTTCTTATCAGACTAGTATACTTGTTTATAGAAAATCTGATGCTTGAGCTATAAAATGAGAGTGATCAGACCCAAAAGGCAGTTTTTAAAAATAATCTAATCCTGTACTATGCTAAGAAGTTCCCTTATTTGATAAGGCATGTTTTGTTATAAAGAAAAAAATCAGTGGAAAGTTGTCAGTTTCCCAGATGCTTGAAAAACATAGTTCCTGGAGCAGTGATGACTAGAGAAAGATGGTGCTATCAGTTCAGATGCCCTCAGCTTCCTCAACTGGCTTAAACAATAAGGGATCTAAGCAGAAACCCAGAGGGAGGGCAGGCTCTGAGGTTGGTGGATTCATGGGCTCTGTGATGTCAAGGCTGGGCCTCCTCAGGGTCACAAAATGGTTGCAGGAATTCCAGGCATCTCTTCTAGACACCACCACCCAGAGTTCAGAGAAGGCCATCCTCCAGAGTGAGGAAGCCTTTCTAGAAACCCCTTGACATGTTTCTCCTCCTGTCACATTAGCCAGGATTAGGTCACAGAATTAGGTCAGCGACTGGTTCATTCCCAAACCAGTGGCTGGCAAGGGGAATGGAAGTGCGTGATTCTAGAGGTGAGCAGGGTCTAGTTCAAGCTGGGTTGGGATTACTGTTCCCTGAGCACGTGTGAAGGCTGGATGCCACCTAAAGTGTCCATACTCTAGGGCCTGGAAGGGCCGTTTGCACTTTCACTGCTCTAACCCTGTTCCCTCCCAGTCCATCAGAATTACACTGGGAGTGATGCAGAGAAGAGCCCCTTCTTCTTGTCCGTGACCCTTTCTGACCAGAACAACCAGCGTGTCCCTCAGTACCGTGCAATCCTGTGGAGGAAAACCGTAAGTGACTGGCTTACGCCTGGAGTTTCACCACTTCACCTGTGTGCTGTGCTGCCTCTATTTACATAAACTTCCAAGGCGTGTGTCGGGAATTTTTTCTTTTTTTGGGCAGATTTAAGGTAACAATCTGATGTAAGGGCAGTTCTACAGAGAAGCCGAGGGCAGCTTGAGGGGGAATGTGTGGAACAGAGAGAGGATCCAGACCCTGCCAAGGGGACAGTAATATCTGCATGAAGTGCCCATGTGGAGGTGAAGCCCAGGGCTCATGGGACTGGCCATTTATACTTTTCTTCACCACGAGCTTTGTGGATCCTTCATTCATTCCCTTTCAGTCAACCAATGTTTATTGAGTGCATTCTATGCATTAGGCACAGTGGAAACTCACTTAGAGAGGAGGAAACAGATTTCCAATAAGTAAACACAGGTAAATCTAAGAGTACACATTACAACACCTCCCGAAAGATCCTGGTGATTTCTGTATGATCTTCAAGGCTGATCTGACTCTTGGCTCAGAGACCAAACCCTCTTCTCATCTGGTTCAGATGCCCTGTCTGCTGACCACAGCACCTGAGGCCCTGCGATCAGGCAGCCCGCACGCAGAAGAGAGCCCTAATGCCCAAACCCGTGAGGGCTGGGGCTGGGGCTGGGGCTGGGGCTGGGGCTGGGGCTGGGGCTGGGGCTGGG